ACATGCACTGGTACAGCGCGTAGCCGTGCCCACATGCACTGGTACAGCGCGTAGCCGTGCCCACATGCACTGGTACAGCGCGTAGCTGTACCCATCACGCAGCGAATCTCCTCGGCATCCCGCCCAGCAACTCCCAGGCACATACACAGTCCAGTCCCACCCTCCGGAAATGGCCGTCTATGTGCTGCAGCCAGGTGTTACAGCCCTGAGGATCCTGCCAGCCGGATCTCCCTCAGGGAATCGCCTCCATGGTTGTACTGTCCGCTGCTCCCTTTAATTACTCCTCCCCGTGACGTTTCCGTTGCATGTCACCATTACACGCCTGCACCATGCCAGGGGATGATCAGTCATCTTTCTGTTATGTCAGTGCACAAAATGCTCGTCAAGGATCCTCTGCAGCGCTCTTTGGGATTAAAATTTCTACGCTGCAGCGTTTCCGACCTCATGTCCACATGCCACACTTAACCTGAGTACTAAAAGCAAATACATACCAAAACTTCCATTTACTCGTGAATGCTACTTATTTTGACATCAGGATAACTAACATCCCTCTGAAGAGATTCTACAGCAGTCATACCCCTTTCAACTCCACAATACTAATGAAACAGCAGTAATTAAGTAAAAAGTATAGTGATTACAGCTATCAACAAAATGATCTATATGATCTTAGTACAGTCCAGCTTATGTTGGTGAAGCGATGACAGGTGTACACACAGGGAAATGCAGTGGATGGTACCTGTTACATTTCCCTTTATGGTTAAAGGCCTTTGAAATACCATGGTCACTGGGGCATAATTCTGCCGGTAGTTACAGGAGGATTATACAATGTTACATTTTCCATTATTGCTGAAAGTGGAAATTCTTCAAATTATACAATAAAAAAGTCCTTTCACTTTTTACACGTGTGCTGCATCCATTAGCTTCTACTAGCTGGATAGAGCAGTGTTTCTCAATCCGGTCCTCAGAGCCGCACACTCCTCTGAGCTCTGCCAGACTGTCCACATTTTTGCTCCTGGTAGGAAGCAAAAACACGGTGTGTCTGTGGGTCCCCGAGGACCGGACTGGGAAACACTGGGCTACATCAAAAGGAGAGCAAAAGGTCACGGTGAAGATCCAGGAGGACTTCTGCACGTATAATAGCTCAAGCCATATATGATACATAATTTATACAAATATTTTTCGAATGATTTAGGATACAAAAAAAGACCAGAGACTTTGGTCGTTAACATAGTCATCCCTAATATATGTGCTCCTTAAAAATGTGCCTTTCTGCATTACTGACCAATACATTTTGTAAGGTATAAATATTAAATATAATGCACTTATACACACACAAAAAAACATACAATACCCCAGCCAACTTGCCTAATTGCTTAAGAGGTTGGGTTCTCATTTGTTTTTAAACAGGATTAAGATTAACCAGGAGAAAAGTAAATTGCCCTAATTATGTGTTGGGTGTGGATGCAGACCCCTGCAGACAGAGGGCTAACGGCAGAGACCGGCTAAGCGTGGACGTGCGGAATGCCCTAAACGGCCCCGGAGTCCCCAGATCTCACACATCAAGCAGCATCTTTAAAACCTCATTTGGCCTTTAATCTCAAATGGGATAAAAGGCAGCAAACAATTCTAATTGGTCAAATACGGCTTTCATTTGCTGGGGTAAATAATAGCACAGGCAGTCCACCGCTTAAGAACGTCTGACTTACAGACAACTTGTACTTACAAGCAGACTGCCATAAAGCCTATTGTATTCAAAATTCAGGTTAAATACAATGGTTTGTAATAACGAAACCACACACTGCTTTCTGACAATCGTGAAAACAATCAGTGGTTCATCAGCTCAAGGTACAGTACAGTACCGTATGTAGTTACTTTAATTACTATTGTATAATTATTTTTATGTACTGTATTACTTTTTTCAGACTTATCTACAAATTCGACTTAAAGACAGACTTAGGGTATGAATCTTGTTTGTAACCTGGGGAGAGCCTGTATTACTAGTAATTAGTGCAGTGCAGTGACCTCGAACAAGACTAGAAATTCCAAATCTAGGAGCCTCCATCCCTGATCAAACTGTACTATCACAGACGACCCCAATAAGAAAGTGAGACCACCTACTGAAGCAGAAAAAAAATGTTTCGTATATAAAAAAAACACTGGCTTAGTGCAACATGAAAGTATCTAAGTATCAATTAAAGAACACCAAGAAAAAGTGTACATCAGTAAATAGCTTAACATTTTTCCCCTTCTACTGTATTTTAAAACACACACACACACACACACAGTCTGAGGCTCGTCCTTACAAGCCTGCCTCTGGGCCCTGCCCTCTCTCGTGACCCCTGACCCCCCAAAGTCAAGCCCAAGTGGTGTCAGTGACTGCTGTGGCCGGTGACAGGCTGCAGCTTCTCCGTCTGCTGGTCCTTGGTCTCCGAGTCGGAGGCAGAGTCGGAGTCCTGGGCCTGCTGCTGCTTCAGCCACATGTCAGCATACAGGCCGCCCTTGTCCAGCAGGTCCTCGTGTCTGGGGGGGGGGCATGAACAAGCTGCACACAAAGGGAGCACCACAGCGGTGCACCATCTCCCCAACATAGCTACTAGCGTGCACACAACCAGCTGTGCGTTGCTGTTTTCACATGAATCTAGCCAGTAAACAGTAAAGGGGGGGGGGGGGGGGCAGTGGAATGCCCTTCCCTTCTTATGGAAAGATTCACAAAAAGACATCAGTGGAAAATGGGCAAAGAAAATGTCTTGTTTACTTTGTTTGATTATTCTTAATGATCTCTATTTCACTACATCTGAGTGTTTCTGACTGTTTTTTGATCCACCACCTGCCAGGAAGGTGAGGGACAGCCTGAGGATGGGAACGCGACATTGATGTCACCTTTCCAAAAGCGTCACCCCCCCTGCCCTCCCCGGTTCCCCTTGTGGCCAGAGCTTGTCCCCCTCGCATCCTAAGCCACTGTTCCTCCAGGGAAAACACTGTTGTGTTGTGTTTACATCATACTGTCAGTCAGACTTCAATGGGTCTGGTGTGGGGTTTCAGCTCCGGTGCCCGGGGGGGTGGGGGTGGGGGGCGTGTCCTGTCCGCCGGGGCTCGTATATCAAAGGCGCAATGAGACACGAGTGCGCGGCCAGCTCAAGCGTGCCGTTTACTCTAAGCCCCGATCAGCCGGATAAATGGGCGGAAGCCATTAGCGTGGGGTGGGGCGGGGGGGCGCCCACCTGGGGGCTAATGGGGCAGCTTGAGGAGAAAGGTGGGGGCGCCCCGCATTGGTGGCGGGATGTGCACATCCTGTCTGGGGACGAGTGTGGAGGCAGACAGCCCTGGGGGGCAAAGGCGGGGAGTGGGAATCAACCCTGATCCACAGATAGCTGCACTGACCCTCTCAGAGCACCTCACCTTTGCCCATACCTCCCAGACCCCCCTCACATAAGAGAAAAGAGAAAGAGAGACACTGGCTGTTCACACTGGCATCCAGAGACACCTGCTCCTCCAACAGAGACAAAGGCTGCGCCCATCTGGATATAAATATTTCAGCGATTGAGGCTTGTGAGATGTGTCACATTATAGCTTTTCGGTGCTCCTGCTGCTTTGCTGCACTCACCTGCCGCGCTCTGCGATCGCGCCGTCGTGCAGGACCAGGATCTGGTCCGCAGCAATGATGGTCGACAGCCTGAAACATACAAACAACATGCCCCGTCGACTTGAAACCTGTCAAAGAGGATGCATCCATCCACAATTCGTTAGAATATTCCAGAGAGTCCGAGATACGGAATAACCTTAATCTCATAATGATAACATTAGGGTGGGGGCTCATGCTCTCAAACGATAGGTCAAATAGAAATATGCAGCTGAAGTCGTCAAACACACAAGCGTTTCGAAAAAGAAAAGCTTTGTCAAGAAAAGCGCATTAAAAAAAGCAATTCATATCCTTTTCATGGCCTTACATGGACAGCTAGGTAGTACAAAATATCCCCTTTAAATTACAAGTTGGATATAACAATGTAGTTATGGGAATAACAAATCCTGAGAGCTGGGACACATCGGGCTCATTTGTTATTCGGCAATAGATGGCGATCAGAGTGTCCATGTCACTGCAGCAGATGTCATAACAGGTAATTGTTTTTGGATGGGAGTCGGGGGGCTGGGGGGGCGAGTGTTTGAACTGAAATGGATGACATTACTGTGGTAATGATGGCCCCACCCACGCGTTTGATGCAGAAGCTTCTGAAGTCCGGTAGGAAATGGATGATTTAAACTGGCATTCATTTCCTGACATGAAAACCACATTAAACCTAAACACAGCCATGTGCAAAGCCCTCAAACAGGGAAACACCCCCCCCCCCACCCACCCAACAACTGCCTGGTATCGTCTCTCAGGTAAAGTCACTGCTCCGCCCACTAAAACTCAGTGTCTCTGCTTACATGTGCCTCCCTAAAGTGAAACCCACCCCCTCCCCAGGTCACCCCCCACTTCATCTTCAAACAAAGCAGGGAAGCTTTATTGATTGTTCCCCAAGGATCAAAGTACCATGAGGAGTCTGAGGCAGCGACGGATCAAAGGGGAGGATTCCGATCGCGGTGTTTACAATTTTCATTTCTGAGAATAGAACAAGGAAAACGAGAACAATATAGGAAGATGGGTCAAACTGAAGACAGGAAGGGATGGTGAGAAGGAGGGAAAGAGAGAGAGAGAGAAAGAGAGGGCAGGGGCCAGAGAAAGAGAAGTAAATTATACCTCCAGAGAGAAGATGACTGAGGTAAAGTGGCAAGGAACAACTTGGGCAGCAACTGTGCTTATGTAAAACTTGTTCAACTTTCCAATAAATTAAAAAAAAAAAATGAAACAGGATTTTGATAATGACAAGCAGGCATGCACATGGACTGTGTTAAGGAACCTGACATATGTAAGTAATTCCGGGGAAAATGTGTTAAGTTTCAGTAAAATATTAATATACTTTCCTTTTATGAGCAATACTGATGAAGTGCTCTTCTGACCCCCAGTCTCTTGTGGGGAATGTGTTTTGTAAACATCTCTACACTGTTCGACATGCTACGGGCGGCATGCTTCATCAGAAAGCACGTTCACGAGTGTCCAAATCGGTGTGCTTTGCCAAGGTGTCATTCAGGCAGAAGGAGAGGTCATTCCATTTAATCAATGATCTACATCTTCAACAGCACCAACAAGCAGACAAGCCGGTTGTGGGCTTTGGAAGATTCCATCGATAGGCGATGCTATCTTCTGGACGGACTCCAAGGACTTCTAGTTAGGTGACCGACTTATGTCTCTGGTCTGTGGACAGTAGTTTTCTGATACACAACCCCCACCCCTGGGCAAAGTGCCATTGGCAGATTTTAGAGGGGGGGGATCACACCACTGCCCCTTGTGAGAAGCTTACCTGTGTGCCACCACGATAGTGGTCCTGTTGGCGCAAACCTTAGCCAGAGAGGCCTGGATGTTGCGCTCCGTCTTGGTGTCCAAGGAGGATGTGGCCTGTGCAGACAGATCGCGACTGTGACAGTAGCTCTCAGAAACATTACAAACTGCTGTGTGCTGCTCCAATCACACATTATGACTTCTATCATTGGGGGCTGTGATCTGCACTCATTAAACTAGAGTCATGTTCTCCGATATCTCCAGCACCTATAGTACCTGTCATCCCCACCCACCCCACCCCATCATGCCAGGGTACAGACCTCGTCTAGGAGAATGATCTGCGGGGCTTTGAGGATGGTTCGGGCAATGGCCACCCTCTGCTTCTCCCCCCCACTCAGCTTCAGTCCTCTCTCGCCGACCTGAGTGTCATATCCTGCAAGGTGATGATGGATCAGCAAAATGACTTCTAATAATTAGCACATTGGTGATAAAGCTAAAGTTAATCTTACTAATTTAGGGACTTACGTCATATTCTTTGGGCCAAGTGAATACAATTTTAAACTATCGTACTATCCATGCCTGTATCCATCTATGCTCTGGCCGCTTCCCCTGGGGGTATTCCACAAATCAGAACTTCTTCATTAGCCAGATAACTTAAGCCAAATGTAAGGATTGTCCAATAGGAATGTCACTTACTTCACTTCCTATTGGACAGTTTTCACGTTTGGTTTAATTATCGAGGCACCTGGAAAATCCTGCTTTGTGGAACACTCACCTGGTCAGGGCTGCAGGGGCCCGGAAGCTGATCCCAAGCAGCTCGGGCACAAAGCTGGGGACACACAAATATGGGATGCCAGTGCACTGCAGGGTGCACACACACAGACACACACAAAGACAGACAGACACAGACAGACGGACAGACACACACAGACACACACAAAGACAGACAGACACAGACAGACGGACA